CTTGTTTGCTTTTAATATAAAAAGTTATTTTTGGCAAATGTAAGAGCTCTTTCACACCAAAAGCCTCAGACTGAAGGAAATGTAAATTCATGTCTGTACAGTATACACAGAAGAAGAAAGTTCAACACTCTTCAGCAATAAAAAAGAAGAAGAAATGTTAGCTTACCTTGTGTAATATTTGCTTATTAGTATGGTTGAATTGGATCACCGAAAGTCAGCAGCAAATTGGTTAATAAAATGGGATTAAATACATAAAGGATATTTGTATTATTTAAAATATTTAATTATTGCAGCTTTGAGTCATATTCTGAGTTGCTTTTAACTGTTTTTATTAATTTTGAGGAAAACTAAATCTGATTTTTTTTTTTGTGAGTGAGGGAGATGAATTAATGCATGTTCACATTTATTCTAGAACTAAAGTAACATCTTACTCCCGATGTCTCTCAACATGGGGACAGGAGAGCTTTCAATCAATAAATGGGAAAAAAGTAACTGGCGTTACTTATTTAAAAAAGTAACTCAGATATTTTCTTGTAAATTAAAAAGTAATGCGTTACTTTACTAGTTACTTGAAAAAAGTAATCTGATTACGTAACTTGCGATACTTGTAATGCGTTACCCCCAACACTGGTTACCACGGCCGTAGAATTTAGTAGGGAGGCTAGGGACATGTCCCTTCCTACCAATATCTAGCGATTAGTAAATTGTCCCCAGCAATAATTTTGATCAAACAATTAAATATATGAATATGTAACCACTGTTGTTGTAATTTCGCTTTCAAGGACATACTTTTAATACATACAAGGTAGTCGATGTTTATACATCGTACGTGCACAGTTCAGTTGAATGATAAAGTTTACCCTGACTTTGTTGTAGATCAAGGCAAACTGTTAGCTGAAATATCTACTAAATAAAAAAAACACTGAAATGTGTGGTTTGTCTGTCAATCAGATGTGCATGGAATGATTTCCTCTTGAACTGTCACCAACTGAATTGCAGGAGTCAAACTTTAAAATAGAGAAAAAAGTGAGGTGCAGCTCGCCATATTAATGGAGTGTTCCAATTAGCTGGAAACCGGTTACCTCACCTGAATATGTTCATAGATTTGTGTTGGATGTTATCTTTGGAATGGAAATATTAATATTTTCTATGTAAACATCATACATTTTCTGTTATTTCATTTAATGTCATAAAACTAGCGAGCTAAGCCAGTTTTTAATTTTTTATTTCAATTTTTTTTTTTTTTTTTTGTATGGAACAGAGTGCCTAAAAAATAACTTTGGTTACACTTTATTTTAAGGTGTCCTTGTTACAGTGTAACATTTAAGTAATATTAATTAACTACTGTACATGTTACTTTATGGTTAGAGTTAGGATTAGGGTTTGGCTTGGGGTTACTTGCATGTAATTATTCATAATTTGTTATTATTATAATAGTAAGTACATGTAACATGTGTAACAAGGACACAGGATTACTTTAAATAAAGTGTTATCACAGAAGGAATATCATATGGTTAGAAGTGAATTTTGATTTCTATGCTGTTAATATCCCTTATGAAAAAGAAGCACACTTAATTGTATTGAATGTGCACATGTAGTGTACTTCAAATCTTAAAAGCATGTTTTTAACAACTTTACTTTTAGATCATGTAAGTATAATAAAATGAAAGGCCACTTAAGTGAACTTAGAGAGTACAAATTCATGACCGTGTATCTTAAAACACTTAATTACTTTTTTAAAGTGAACTTTGTAATAATGTCATGTTAAAAGTTTTACATTAAAGCAGCACATTATAACATCATTAGGTTTTAATCATCTTTTGTCACGCTTTAAACAAGTACACTTATTTTGATGTGATGACTAACATACTAAAACATATGTAAAGTACTTGATTATAATTTTAACCATAGTATTTTATTTGAAATGACATTTCTTACATTACATACTTAAGTGGGTAAAAAAAAGCACTCAGCTAATTCAACCTAGACTACTGTATAATACATTTTCATTTAATTGCAATTAATATGCAATTAAGTGTCTAAAAACATTACTTTCAGTTTGCACTTAAGTATTTTCTTTTAAAATATATGATTTTTTTGTAATAATTATTCTTTCTAAAAGCATGCTAAAGCGTACTTATTTTTAACAAGGGAACATATGTATAGTTTTACAGAGCTAAACATTATGTACCTCCCCAAGACATGGTTTTGTACATTTTAATCACATGTAAAATGTACTAAATATTCCTCAGAAAGAGTCACACAGCATTCTTCATTTGTAAATCATGTCTGCTACATGAATAAATGTAAAAATAAATCTAGTATATAAACTCAAAACTGAAGAACTGCAAAAATCAGAGTGCTGGGAAATGCTGCATACCTCATTTTTGGGCACGGTGGCAAAGGGTTTGATGATGGCTGCCAGAGGCACTTTGCACTGCTTTGCAAGGTCAGCAGTGCTGGGGAAGGAATATGTTGTGCACCGCATGAACCTTGGGCTGGCATTCCCTTAAAATGGCAAAAAAACAAACATTTACTATATTAAACAAAAGCACCTTTAGGCTAATATTAGGAGTGAAGTGCAAAGACAGTTCCCATGCTCACCTTGATCCTGCACTGTGAAATCTGTGGTGACCAGTGGAGGCACCTGACCTCTGATGTTTGTGACATACACCTGGCCTCCTCTCTTAGCCTGGTCATCATCAATCACTTGCGTCTGCAACAGACAAGTCAGTGTACCTTGAAATGTGCACAAATTTAAATACTTTTACACTATAAAGTAGCATTTATTGCCCGTTATTACCGTGCTTGGAATGGAGTCCGGGTCCAGCTTCTTTTGAGGAGGGCCTGCCATTTGTGCTGGACCTCCAGGAAAGCCTCCTGGGAAAGCGCCTGATTGTGGCCCTGCCATTTGCGCACCATACGGGCCTGACATTGGGCTCCCTTCAGATCAGAAACAAAAAGAGTTATTTAAGCTAGTCAACATTTGCCTCTAAAAATAGTGAATAGAGGTGAGGTGTGTCATTTCTGCACCACAAATGCAAGAGAAAAAATAAAGACAGTTTCTGTTAACATAACTCACATTTAGTCAGATAGTCCCGAACCAAACTCACACAACTGGTTGAACTAATGTTGCTGCCAGACTCGTGCTGAGGCCTCTCTCATAAAACAGTGGCTACCCAGTAATGTCTGAACAAACTTTTTTTTTAAGTCTCATGTAGGTGGATTATTTTATACGAGGATTTAGGATTAACATATACACTACCAGTCAAAATTTGGAATATTTAAGACTCAATCACTTGTGTCTGCAACAGACAAGTCAGTGTACCTTGAAATGTGCACAAATTTAAATACTTTTACACTATAAAGTAGCATTTATTGCCTGTTATTACCGTGCTTGGAATGGAGTCCGGGTCCAGCTTCTTTTGAGGAGGGCCTGCCATTTGTGCTGGACCTCCAGGAAAGCCTCCTGGGAAAGCGCCTGATTGTGGCCCTGCCATTTGCGCACCATACGGGCCTGACATTGGGCTCCCTTCAGATCAGAAACAAAAAGAGTTATTTAAGCTAGTCAACATTTGCCTCTAAAAATAGTGAATAGAGGTGAGGTGTGTCATTTCTGCACCACAAATGCAAGAGAAAAAATAAAGACAGTTTCTGTTAACATAACTCACATTTAGTCAGATAGTCCCGAACCAAACTCACACAACTGGTTGAACTAATGTTGCTGCCAGACTCGTGCTGAGGCCTCTCTCATAAAACATTGGCTACCCAGTAATGTCTGAACAAACTTTTTTTTTTAAGTCTCATGTAGGTGGATTGTTTTATACGAGGATTTAGGATTAACATATACACTACCAGTCAAAATTTGGAATATTTAAGATTTTTCTATATTTTTGAAAGAAGCCTCTTATGCTCACCAAGGCTGCATTTATTTGATAAAAAAACATTATTATGATATATTACAGTTTAAAAGAACTATTTTCTATCTTAATACATTTTTAGATATTCAAATCAACGCTTCTTTTGAACTTTCTTTTTCATCAAAAAATCTTGAAAAAATATATGGCACATTTTCCACAAAAAAATCACACAGCACAACTGTTTTCAACACTTATAATAAGAAATGTTTCTTGAGCAGCAAATCAGCATATTAGAATGATTTCTGAAGGATCATGTGACTCTGAAGACTGGAGTAATTATGCTGAAAATTCAGCTTTGCATCACAGGAATAAATTATATTTAAAAATATATTCAAATAGAAAATAGTTCTTATAAACTGTAATAATATTTCAAAATATTACTGTTTTTACTGTATTTTTGATTGAATAAATGCAGCCTTGGTGAGCATAAGAGA